GATGTTTTTTGGATATGGTGAATTTTGTTCATCAGGTAATGTTTTTAAAACACACCAAAACACTAGCAAACATCAAGAAATTGCTTTTTCCAAACTGTCATTTTGTCAGGTATTGGAATCATACTTCCTAAGTAGTATCTCATTGACCTTTTACTTCAAAACTACAGGGTGGCTCTAATTGCCCTCGTTTTATGGGAGAGCAAGACTCGATAAGTCTTGGAGCATTAAGATTAAAATTTAAATGCAAAAACACCCAGGGAAGAGGGTGTGTATGAAGGGAGGCAATACCTCTAACAACAATGAAGGACAAAAGAAGCTCTCCTGCCCACCTCTGGCTTTTTCTTTCTCCTTTTCCTACTAAGCCTGTCCTTTTAAAATGTAAAATAAATAAATAAATCCAGAACAAAACTTAAAAATCTTGAGCAGTAAATTGCAATAAATGAAATTTGAGTCAGTGGGTAATATCTCTAATTAATTTTATAACATTTCCCATTATAAACTTAAAATTGGGTTTCATGGGGAAAAAAAAAAGCAAACCCAAACTCTAAACCAATTCATAATGGAGACAAAAAATCACTGAAAATTTTAAAGTAATGGAAGAAAATCTACTCAGTATTTATGGAGAGAGAAAAGGGAGGAAAGAAAGGGAGGACAAGGAGAGGGAAATAAAATGAGAGCCAGAAATAATAGAGAAAAGACTTCATTTCAAATTCTCTTTCTTTAGAGACTAAACTGTACAGCAGAGCTCAGTGAGCTTATAAAATGCACATCGCTGTACGGAAGCCTCTCACAGCTTGGTGAGCTCTAGAACTAAGATGTCAGGTACCAAGAACGGACACACAGATATCAATTTAATCTTATTACAGTCAAACAGTGGGTACTAGGATATGACAAGGTGAAGGCATGGAGAGCAAACATTATCTTATTGCAGGCGAATCTCCAGAGCAATCTACTCAACCACTTCAGACTGATCACAGGTGTAAAGGTACAGAGATACAGAAAATGGAAACATAAAACAAAACAGAATGATCGGGAGGACACAAAGCACATGACCCTTTATCACAGTTGTAGTTTAGATTTCCCTGAACTGATGAAAAAAAAGCTAAGACCATACATGAAATCTTTTTCATTCTTTCCCTGAGCTCTGTCACTGAGTAGCTATGTCCTTGAAGTGAAAATTACCATAGACACTGTTAGGGTCCGAGAACTCGATTACCGCGAAAGACAGAGTGCCACACAAGAATGCAATTCGCAAAGTAGAGTTTATTGGGCTGGCTAGCCAGGGTCAAGCAGTTCCCTGCAGGACTCGCAGGACCGAGGGTTCAGGCAAGACCCCGACCAAAGGAATGTCAGGGAATACACAGGCCTTATTGGCCGTTACATATGTCAGAGCCCGCACAAATTCAGAGCCCGCGCAAATTCACCTTAGCAAATGGGTTCAAAGACATCACAGACTGGATCACAGTTCAACCACCCAATGACAGGTTTCCAGGAATAGATGTCTCATTTCCTGGTGCCTCAGGTCCAATCAGGCTGGGCCACACCATTCCCATTATCCAATCAATTTAAATGTACATTGTCCCTCTTCAACCTATAGTTTTAAGGGTCAGCATTTGCGTGTGCATTTTGCAAGCCGGGATCTGGTCTTGTGGCTTTTCCCTTTCCAACACCCCCCCCCCCCCCATACTTCCTTATCTTGTTTGTCCGGTTTTTTCTCCTTCATTGTGTGTGTGTGGGGTGTGTGTGGGGGGGTGCTTGCCTGGTCTAGTTTTGCTCAGGCCTGCATTACTTCCTCCATTCCTTCAACACAACTTCTCCTTCGAAAAAAAGGAAAATCTAATCTGTTGCCTCCACTGAGTCAGGTCACATGGGGAGGAATGTGAGCTTGGGCTTAAGAATATGGCACTCTGCAGACTCCAGTGGGACCTGACCGCTTTCCTGTAAGAGGGAGAGTTTCTGAAAGAGGAGCCGTCAGGAAGGCACAGAGACAGCCTCTCTGGGTTGTCACTCCATGAGGCCTGTAGGAATCAACTGGCAGGAGGTTTGCCCCTGGTCATCCCTGGCTCCACCAGGGTGGATGCACTAAAGAAGATGCTGTAGGGCCAGGAGGCTTTCTAAACTGCTCTCACTAATAGAGACACCTGGTGGACTGTTAGCCCAGGATAACTGGTGCTGCTTTGTAGTAACGCAGCTTGACTTAGAGCAGTCAAATTCTTCAAAGAATACACAGGAGTTTTCATGGTATTCAGTTTCTGGGCAGATCTTAGTGGGTCCACACCATGAAATGGCCATTTTACCCTAAAATATAACTGGATTCCATCTGAAATCACCAAAACCTTGATAATGTTATACCCATCCCATAGTAGGCACCAAATTTGTTGAACAATATGATCTGTCCAGCTTTCATTTTCACACATATGTGAGCAATACCTGGCACCCCTACTCTTCAGAGAGGTATGTTTGTCCATAACTCTTCCCAGTGCTACTATCCTCTCAGATTTTCCTTTAGATGGTGTCTTCACAAATACATTATTAAATATACAATCTGAAATCTGCAGTCGATGAGTAAGACCCAGCAGAAAAATACTGGAGAGTCAAAACAAAGCAAAAGAAAAGACAAAAGCAAACCTCTGAAATCTGATTGCAGATCTTGGGCTAATAGAAAGGGAGGATGAAGAATGGGAGGAAAGGGGAGGGGGACTAGGTGAAGGATGGTGGAAGATTATTGGTGTTCTGATGGCAGCTGTAGTGTGATAACAAACATTTGCAAAGGTACAAATCTATACACCTACAACATATATAATGCCATAAATCAACATACCTCAATAAACATATTCCAACAATGAAGATAACCTTAACTTATAATGTGAAAAGATTGTATTCTTACCAATGCAACAAGAAGAAAGAGAACACAGGATAGTCAGTATTTAGAGGAAAGTTCATTAACTGTATGGAAGTGAAAATCAACACATATTTTACAGAAATATTTTCCTGTATTTATCAACATCATAAAAATTGCACATGTCTTTTGCACATGCACTAATTTTAATCTTATTTCTAATCAGCTGAAGAGAGGAAATTAGTAATGCAAAAAGGGTACTCAAGAAATGCATAGAATAATTATTTTTAAGGAAAACAATTAGAAACAGTCAAGATTAATGAAATTTTATATAATTACTGGGTGGAAGAAGGTTTAACTGCTGAAAGTTTCAGTTTCAAGACAAAAAGAATGACAAGAAAGCTTCAAAAATAATGTCAGGTATGGAAAACAAATGTCTGAACACTTCATACAGTATGAAATTTATATATATGCAAAATATAAGCATAATTATAAACTGATTAGGGTGCCAAAAACACTATTAGAACAGCTGTCTGCTATGTTGGAATTACAGGTAATTTTGAAAATTTTATTATACTACCCCATAATTTTTCAGATTTTTTTACATTAAGGATATATTTATCTTATAACAAAATATATTTTTTTAATGATGTGATTTTCTATGTTACTAGGGAAAAGGTATTAGATTTTAATGTGTTTTTGCTGATTCTTTTTATACCAAGAGAGGCTGCTGAGACATCTAATTTGGAGAATCACTCCACCTGAGATGTCTTACGAGCAGTTCTCCAAGGAAACTAAAATCCTCTGTAAGAGATGCCACCCCAGATTTCAAAGAACCCGTAAAGATTCTCAACTATGTACAAGGATTTGGGTGTGCCTAATTCTGAGGTGAGTTTTGGGAAATTTTCAAAAATACCTATTTTGGGAGAAGTAAAAATATTATTGACTAAGATAGGACTAGATTGGTATAGGGAGACATGTG